TTGGCTATGTGAAAATGGAGGCAGGACAAAAGTGATACAGTCACGAAGCAGATGGCAGAGGCCTCAGGCCAACCTGGGCAGCTGGCAGAAGTGAGGAAGGGTCCTCTCGGGAGCCCCCACCTGCATTCCAGACCTGCAGCCCTCAGAGCGGTGGCCATGGGTACGGCTGTCTTGGGCAGGCCAGCGTGGTCCTCTGTTCCAGCAGCAACACGGCGCTTAACGCACAAACCGTGATGAGCTCAAGGGTTGGCCCCTGCTTTAGGCATATTTCATTCTTTTGCACTTACGATCCTTAGGAATCCTCAGATTAACCTGTTTGGGGTTAATGAGATCCCCTTTATTTGAAAGGGAGAGCGAGCGAGCAAGTGTGCACCGTCTGCTGGCTCACTCCCCAAACTGACCAGGCCAAAGCTGGGAACCTCCAATTCAGTGAGGGTCTCTCCCGTGGCGGCAGGGACCTAAGTACCTGAGCCATCGCCTGCCTGTCTGGATGTCGCATTAGCAGAAAGCTGCTGTCTGAAGCAGTTCTGGCGCTCAAGACCCATGAGCATCTCACGTGGTCTCCTGACCCAGTACTGTATGCCGCCTGCACCGCTGCCCAGGCCAATCTCGAACATTGTTACCTGAGACCTAGTGTTTGCCTTTTCAATTTTTAAAAAAGATTTATTAACTCTTACTGGGTTGGCAAATTTTACAGAAAGAGAAGGAGAGATAGAGAGAGATCTTTCATTCTCTGGTTCACTCCCCAAATGCCCACAAAGGCCAGCACTGAGTCCATCTGAAGCCAGGAGCCAGGAGCTCTTCTGGGTCTCCCACGTGGGTGCAGGGTCCCAAGGCTTTGGGCCATCCTCGACTGCTTTCCCAGGCCACAGGCAGGGAGCTGGATGGGAAGGGATATGGAACAGCCAGGATATGAACTGGCACCCTTATGGGATCCTGACAAGTGCAAGGTGAATGCTCCTAGGCTACAGTGCTGATCCCAAAATAATAATCAATTTTTAACACAAATCATACTACAGTTCGAGAAATGACAATACTAATGCAACTATCAAAAATGTTGAAAAAAAAAAAGGGACCAGCGACGTGGCCTAGTGGCTAAAGTCCTCGCCTTAAATGTGCTGGAATCCCATATGGGCGTTGGTTCTAATCCCGGCAGCTCCACTTCCCATCCAGCTCCCTGCTTGTGGCCTGGGAAAGCAGTTGAGGACACCCCAAAGCTTTGGGACCCTGCACCTGTGTGGGAAACCTGGAGGAGGCTCCTGGCTTTGGATTGGCATAGCATCAGCCGTTGCACTCACTTGGGGAGTGAATCATCGGACGGAAGATCTTCCTCTCTGTCTCTCCTCCTCTCTGTATATCTGACTTTCCAATAAATAAATAAATCTTTAAAAACATGTTAAAAAATAATTTGGGAGTTTATTAAAGGGGTTTGTGTGTAGTCAGATTACAGTTTTAATTATTCTCAGAATGGTTCCTCTGTGTGTGGTTTTCTATTTCTAAGTGGATTCAGCTTTCATTTGTTTAATTTTTAAAAAAAGATTTATTTTTTGATTGGAAAGGTATATATACAGAGAGGAAGATCTTCCATCCGATGATCCACTGCTTAAGCAGCTGCAACAGCCGGAGCTGAACCAATCCGAAGCCAGGAGCCAGGAGCCTCTTCTGGGTCTCCCATGCAGGTGCGGGGTCCCAAGGCTTTGGACCATCCTCCACTGCTTTCCCAGGCCACAAGCAGGGAGCTGGATGGGAAGCAGAGCTTCCAGGATTAGAACAGGTACCCATATGGGATCCTGGCATGTTCAAGGTGAGGACCTTAGTTACTATGCTATTTGGATCGGGCCCACTTGCTTCATTTTTCTTTCAGTTTTAAAGCAAATTTAATTTTGTTTTATAATTGTATTGTTTATAATTGTGTTGTCCAAGGTGCTAAAGTCAAATTCTGGCCAGGCTGAAGCAAGGACCCTAGAACTCCACCTTCAGATTCCATGTGAGTGACAGGTCCCCAGTGCCTGGGCCGTCCTCCGCTGCTTACCTAGGTCATTAGCAGGGAGCTGGATGGGAAGTGGAACAGCCAGGACTTGTACTGGTGCTGATGTGGGATCCCCGTGCTGCAGGTGACAGCTTTATACACTGCACCACAGGATCAGCCCCACCCATGCGTTTTGAAGCAGTGCCGTGCTCCACACATCCCCCCTCCCTTACTTTCACTTGCCGTCACATGCTGCTTTCACAGCAGCCTCGTGATGTGGAATGTGATGTGTCAAGCGCCTGGAGAGAGCCATGCTGGGGACCAGAAACCTGGATTTTTTTCAAACAGGTTGCTAAACCTCTATGTGGTTAAACCTATGCCACCAGTAATGTTAGACAAGCAGGAGACGGGTCACGGACTCCAGCCAGCAGAGGAGTTGTGCTGGAGTGTGTTAGGCTTCTGCCTGAGGTGGGCATCAGCGTCAGCTGCAGTCCCAAGTGCTCCTATTCTGATCCCGTTCCCTACTATTTATTAGAAAGGCAGAGTTACAATCAGAGGGAGAGAGCGTTCATCCACTGATTTGCTCCCCAAGTGGCTGAAGCAGGTCAGACTGGAACTTGACCTGCGTCTCCCAGGTACCTGCCATCTTCCGCTGCCCTTGGTGCTTTGGCAGGGAGCTGGATCGGAAGTGGAGCAGCCGGTTTTATGGGGGTGTGCTCACTTACAGGCGACAGCTGACCCTGCTGCGTGCCATAACCGTGGCTGCAAAATCAGTGTTTGTCTTTTTGCCTCTTCTCAGAACCCTCTGCCTCTGGGCAAACATTCCCCACACATAGACTTGGGTCTATCGCCGTTTGCTTCTTCTGTGATGTTTAGCAAAATGTCTGTGTAGAGATGGCGCTGTATGAATTGAGGCCACGTTAAATGTTAGATCATGAGCCTGGGCTAATCTGTCAGCCAGTGCGAGAGCTTGCCAGTGGCTAACTCTGACAGGTGTTAGACCTCTTGCCAGTGGCTAACTATGACGCGTGTTAGACCTCAAATCTCGTTAGCTCTCCTTTATGTTTCTCTGACCTTTCATTGTGTCTAACTACAGCAGGCTTCTTAGCTCTGTCGCACTTCACGGAGATTTTATTTGCTGTTGTTCATGGCAACCAGATGGGTCATTGAAATGCCTCTGTGACATTTAGAAACAAGGAAACAAGGATGTATAAGGATACTTTAAAAGTTTGTGTGGAGGGCCCCGTATGATAGCATAGTGGCTAAAGTCCTCGCCTTGCGCTCCCAGGATCCCATATAGGCGCCACTTCTAATCCCAGCAGCTCCACTTCCCATCCAGCTCCCTGCTTGTGGCCTAGCAGGGCAGTGGAGGACGGCCCAAAGCTTTGGGACCCCGCACCATGTGGGAGACCTGGAAGAAGCTCCTGGCTCCTGGCTTCAGATCAGCTCAGCTCCAGCTGTTGCGGCCACTTGAGGAGTGAATCATCAGATGGAAGATCTTCCTCTCTGTCTCTTCTCCTCTCTGTATATCTGACTTTCCAACAAAAATAATTAAATCCTTAAAGTAAGTTTGTGTGGAAAGGGGCTAGCTTTGAGGCGCAGCACGTTAACCCACTGTTTGCAGTGTAGACATCCCATATTATAATGCCAATTCAAGTCCCAAGTGTTTTCTTCCCATCTAGCTCCTTGCTCATGGCCTGGCGAAGCAGAAGACGGCCCAAGTGCTTGGGCTCCTGCACCCATGTGGGAGACCCAGACGGAGGTCGTGGTTCCTAGTTTTGCTCTGATCCAGCCTCAAATGTTGTGGCCATTTGGGGGAATGAACCAGTAAGTGGAAGAGCTTTCTTTCTGTCTTTCCAAGTACTAAAATGCCCTCAAATAATTATTCTTTTAAAAAACCTGTGTATTACAATTGTATTAACAACAAAATGAGGGCCCGGCGTGGTGGCGCAAGTGATTAAGGTCCTCTCCTTGCACGCCCGGGATCCCATATGGGCGCTAGTTCTAATCCCGGCAGCCCCGCTTCCCTTCCAGCTCCCTGCCTGTGGCCTGGGAAAGCAGTCGAGGACGGCCCAAAGCTTTGGGACCCTGCACCCGCGTGGGAGACCCGAAAGAGGCTCCTGGCTTCAGATCGGCATAGCATCGGCCCGTTGTGCTCACTTGGGGAGTGAATCATCGGACGGAAGATCTTCCTCTCTGTCTCTCCTCTCTATATATGCCTTTTCAATGAAAAAATAATAAAAATAAATCTTTAATAAAAAAAACCAACAAAATGAATGGAAAATAGTACTAAAAGGTCAGTTTATCAGGCTGCAAAATAATTGAAATCTATGCAAATAAAGGTCTTCAAAAATTCATGATAAAGCATATTAGGAAAAAAAAAACTATGCATGGATTTCAATTTTTTTTGGCACAAAAAGAAACTGATTTTTTAACTCCACTTTCCACAATCTAAGGTTCTATTTTTCTTGCACATGTGCATGTGTGCGTATAACACTGCCATAGCCCAACTGGCCTTTTAACATAGCTGAAATAAGTAGGGCAGCCAGTTTTCCACAGTGAAAATCTTTCCAGGTCTAAGAATAAATTGAGCTGACCTCCAAATCTGTTTGCGTTTATATTGTCTGGTAGTGTCCGAACCAAACACCGCAGAGCAGTTCCTGTTTTGCTGTTTGGCGAGAGCTTGGAAAATAGTGGCAACTCAGCAGGCATCCTGTGGTGCTGCAAAGCAGCATCGAATGTGGATTCGCAGAGACAAAAACAGCTTACCAAGAAGAAGGAAGTGAGCTTTTAATGTCAACGATATATGTGGCAACACACTTCTGCAGAAATAAGGGAAACGAAAGATGGGTGAACATGCTTTGCAATGTCTTATTTTGATAGGACTAAAAGTAGTTCAAAGCGAAAACCCTGAGGTATCCAATATTCTGATCTTGCCCCGAAGTGCAATCGATAGACTAGACACAGTATTTCTGAGCATCAACAATGCAGGACTCTGGGGATGGACTTTGTGGCGAATCAGGGGGCAAGCATGTCCCCGGGAGCGTTGGCCGGGGCCCCAGGGACGCAGCTTTCTGCTGACGCGTCCTGGCAGATAGCAGACGGTGGCTTCCGAGCGTGGGCCCCTGGCACTGGGCCACGGAGCACCGGCTTTGGCTTGGGTCAGCCCTGGCTGTTGTGGCTATTCGGGAAGTGACTTGGTAGACGCACCATCTCTCTCTCCATGTGTGTTTTTTTCTCTGCTTTTCAAGTAGATGAAAATGAAAATTTTTAATGGGGTGGTAGAGGACATTTAAAGAAAATTACTGTGAATATCACTTATAAGCTTCCTCTGGAGCATGTAAAGATTTGTGCAAGGGGTCTCAAGACAGCGGTTCAGAAATGACCATTATTGGGGACTGGTGTGGTGGCATCTTGTGTCAAGCTGTCTCTTGCAATGTCAGCATTCTGTATGGGTGCGGGTTCATGTCCCGGCTGCTTCCTTCCAGCTCGGGAAAGCAGCGGAGGATGGCTCATGTGCTTGGGCCCCTGCACTCATGTGGGAGACCCGAAGTTCCTGGCTTTTGGCTTGGACGGCTGAGCCCTGGATTTGCAGCCATTCGGGGAAGTGAACTAGCAGATGGAGGATCTCTCTCTCTGTAACCCTGCCTTACAAATACAATAAATCTCGTTCCAAAAAAAAGTGATCATCGTGATTGCAAATGCATCTGGGGCCAGGGATTCAAGCAAAACCCTTTTGAGGACAGGGGTGTGCAACCCAAGGAAGATATTTCTATTTTCAAGCTGCACCACTAGGAGGCGAGCGGGGACAGGGAACCAACTTGGCTCCCTACCCTCCACCCCGACTGGTACGCATGCGCGCGGAGGGAAGGGGCGGGTCGCGCAGGCGCGGGGCGGGCTTTGTGACGTCAGGCCGCGCGGCCGGGCCGGGAGCTAGCGGCGGCTCGCGCCAGAGAACATTCTCCGAGCGTGAGGCGCGGACTCGGCTGCCCCGCGGCCCGCCCGCCGGCCTGGCCGGCCTCGCCGCCGCCTGCCTGGCTCCCTGAGCGCGCCGAGCGCGGGCCAGCGGCCGGGGCGGAAGGCCCAGGGCGACGCGGAGAGGGCGGGCGGGCATTGCGGAGCGCCGGTCTCTATATGGCGGCGGCTCTGTCGGGCCTGGCTGTCCGGCTGTCGCGCTCGGCCGCCGCCCGCTCCTATGGGGTCTTCTGCAAGGGGCTGACCCGCACGCTGCTCATCTTTTTCGACCTGGCCTGGCGGCTGCGCATCAACTTCCCTTACCTCTACATCGTGGCTTCCATGATGCTCAACGTGCGCTTGCAGGTGGGTGAGCCGCGCGGTTCCCTCCGCATCCCCCCCGACCCTCCCGCGGAGCACCTGCCCCTCGCCCGCCGTGCATGGACCTCGGCCAAGCCCACGTGGGGAGACCCCGCCGAGGGGGCTGGGGGTCGTCGGGTGGAGCATGGGCGGCGTGGGGCCGGCGGAGTGCCCGCCTGGCGCTGGTCCCTGGGGCGCGGAGGAGCCGCCCCAGGGATCTTGCCCCAAGCATCGCCTGTGCCTTGGGCCTGTCGGGGCGGAGACATCCCTGTGCAGGTGTCGGGGGGCCGCGAGAAGCCTAGAACTGGCTGTTGGGCGCAATGGTGCTAAGGTGCTTTGGGATGCGCTTGACCGCGTTGCAGGGTCTGAATGGTGGTATTTGGGAGTGAGGGTTTGTGGTCCCATCCTAGGAGGGCAGGAAACTCCCGACTGTCTTCCAGCAGCTTCTGGCAGCTGATGCACCTGTGTGTGAGGGTCGGGAAGGAGGAACCCCCCCACCTGCAGCCGGTCACCACCCCACGGAGGCAGGGCCCCGAGTTGGCCAGATCCAGGGCATTCCAGTAGAAATCACGAGTCCTGGTGTTGTCAGGCTAACTCGGGTTTTTTGTTGTTGTTGTTGAGCCTCTGAGCAGACACAGCAACCAGCTAATCTGACTGCCCTGCCCCACCGCAGGTTACCTTCTGGGAACCTGCCGTGTAGCCGGTGTATCATTTGCAGGCGTGACTAAAGTCGCAAAAACAAAGACGCTCCACCCAGCGCCTTTCTCACAGACCCGCCTCCCCGTGGCTAAGCACCTGCGGCTCTGCTGGGGTCCTGGCCCAGCCTGGTGCCGCAGGCCCCCGCTCTGACCCCTTGGCTGCCTGCACCCGTCCTGTCTCCTGCGAGCTGTTTGCTGGTTGTCACCGGCGCCAGGACACTGCCTTTGGGGGTCACTGCAGTTCTGGGGTCTGTCGCCTGCGAAGGCACCTGGTTCCCGTGATGAGGGTCGGGGTTTCGCAGTTTGCTTGCTTGTGGCGCGGTCGGCACCCATGGGCAGCACCCACACGGGGACCTGGGGCTTGATGCTGGAGGTGGTGCTGCAGCTGCACAGGTTGGGAGAAGGGGCTCTTAGCTCGTGGGTTTGGGGGCAGCGCCCACAGGCAGTCAGCAGGTGCCCTGGGGGAAGGGCTTTGGAGGGGGCTGCCTGGGGTTTAAGGTTGCTGTTGGCCTTGAGGGCGAGGAGGTGGGAGGTTTTCTTGAGTAGGTACCTTTGCTATTGTAACTCCCCTACGGGGTTGAAAGTGTTCCCTTTGTGAAAAACCTCGGCCTGGAGGGTTCATTTTTTCTGCTTTGCTAAAGGGAAGTGCAACAGGAAGACCAATGGGGAGCCAGAGGGTCAACCCCCACTTTTTTCCCCTGGCACACCCTGGCAGCTCCTTGCTTGCAGGGTCCTTGGCGTGTGTTTGTGAGGAATCAGGTCCTCAAGGCGCTGAGAGCCAGCCAGCCTCCTCCTTGTAGTTGCTTTGGTAATGGAAGTTGAGCAAGTGGAGGGAGGCGAGCAAGTGGGGGGGGGAATGCCCTAAGCCTTTGAAGAGGGAAGGGCTGTGATTGAAAAACACCTGGAGCCACGGAGCACCCGGGTGAAAAGCCAAGACGGCAGATACTAAACACAGCCAGGGTGGGCTTTGCGCAGTGGGCGCGACGGGGCCCAGCGTCCTGCCACCAGAGGCCCTGGGACACAGGTGTCGGAAGTGGAGGGTGTCCCTGACACCTGCGTGGGGACCTCGCTTGGATCTGGCTTTGACCTGCGCCGCCTGCTGCGGTGAGCCAGCAGATGGGAGGCGGGCTGCTGTAGCACGTGGCTGCAGCGTGATTGACGTGGAAACGCGGCAGCAACCTCGTTTCTCCTTTCACACCAACGAATAATTCTCATGCAAACTGTAGTTTGCGAAGTATGATTTATTTAGGAAAGAGAGAGAGCTCTTGTCTTAGTGACAGGAGGGGGCTCCGAGGGAGGAAGGACCCGAGCATGGAAATGGTGTACCATCTCCTACGAGTCACCCCAAGGACAGGATGGGGGGAACCTGTTTTGAGCTGGGAAGTAACCTCTACCACCTTGCCCCAAACAAAAGGTGAGGCCGGGATGGCTTGCTTCCCCCATCCCGAGGTTACATTGGAAACCAAGGCGGCATTCCTTTGACAGTAACCAAGGTGGGCCAGTCTCCTGGTTCTAAGAAATAGAGATTGGGGCCCGGTGCGGTGGCCTAGCAGCTGAAGTCCTCGCCTTGAATGCGCTGGGATCCCATATAGGCACCAGTTCTAATTTTGGCAGCCCCACTTCCCATTCAGCTCCCTGCTTGTGGCCTGGGAACGCAGTCAAGGATGGCCCAAAGCCTTGGGACCCTGCACCCATGTGGGAGACCCAGAAGAACTCCTGGCTCCTGGCTTCGAATTGGCGCAGCACCTGCTGTTGCGGCCGCTTGGGGAGTAAATCATCTGACAGAAGATCTTCCTCTCTGTCCTTCTCTCTGTATGTCTGACTTTGCGATAAAAATCAATCTTTTTTTTAAAATGGAGATTGGTGTGTTGATTCTGTCCCTTTGTTCTCTCCCCAGAGGGAGAATGTGCTTTGGGGGTTGGGCTGTGGGACGGGAGGACATTTTAATTAACATCTTAAAGGTGACCTCACCGAGACGCCAACGTCTTCTGCCTGTCTACCTCCTGCTTGTCCTCTGCCTTTCAAGGAAATTTAAAAAAATAATAATAAAAATGAAATGGCACCGTGACTGAGCAGCCGCCTTTGGGGTCTGGAGGGAGAATCGAGTGCCAGCCCTGGAAGAGAGTCGTTGCAGGAAAGTGTCCCAAAGGTGTTGCCCGCCTGGGCCGTGACCTTGCCCTGTGCTCACTGGGGAGGCCGGCCTTTGTCTAGCGGCCGCCTGGCTCCTTGCCCTGCGATCTGTCTGCTTCATCCTCGGCTTGTGCTCTCCAGGGGACCCCCTTCCCCGGGGGGCTCTGCTGGTCCGGGCAGCTCTGGCCCCAAGCACATGAGAAGCCAGGAAGTGGCGTTGGAGCAGACAGGTAGCTGGGAGAGGTGTCAGCGCTGCCGCCGGAACAGCCGGGCCCAGCATGGAGCGTTGCAGGGGAAGAAGGTGCCAGCGGACTCCGACAGAGGTTGCAGGGCAGCTCAGGACTTTGGAAAGCAGGGGCATCCCAGCTGTTGCCAAGGTCCTTGTGGCGTTGAGTGAGCTTGGCTTCTGGTTTATCGTGCTCCTGGAGGACACTGGGAAGCTGGAGGCACCAGCTACAGGCTGAGCCGAGGAGCCGGGCTCGGCCTTGGAGAGGAGAGGCTGCGCGCCTGAGGGGCACGGCTGCCAGCGGGTCTTTGCGGTCCTGCAAGGGATGTTTTTCCACAAACTTTGGTTTTGATTAATCTTAAACCTAATAAGGTTTTAATATAGTGAACACCTGTATCCTTGGCTTTTTTCCTCTCTGAGAGACAGGGAAGCAGAACTCCCCGTCTGCTGATTCATTCACAGAGGCCTGCAGCAGCTGGCCAGGCCGGGCCTTGAGCCCAGGAACTCGGTCCAGCTTTCCCCTGTGGGTGCAGGGGTCCACCTGCTTGCGCCATCACCTGCCGCCCGCCTCGCAGCATCTGCAGAAGCGGGCGGCTGGGATTGGGAGCAGTGCCGGAACTTGTGCCCAGGCATTCTGTCACCCACCCTCACTGTTTTGAAAGAACCCTACAAATAACCACATAATGATGCAAGCAGCTACTGGGGTGTGCGAGTTCAGCTCTCTCTAGATAGGTGCCATGTGTGAATTGAAAGGAATAAGCAAGCGCTAACCCTGTCCAGGGCTGGGGAACTGCTCCGACTGCAGCTGGAGCCCTGTCCAGGGCTGGGGGAGGTGCCCCATGGGGATGTGGGGCTGCGGGTGGAGGATTAGCCAACTGAGTCACCAAACCAGCCCAGCAGATGAGTTCTGCCTGCCTGTCTCTCTCTGCCTCTCAAGTAAAAATAAAACAAAATTTAAAATCTGCCTTCTGTTGTACTCAGAGTACCAGCAAAGTCCTTACAGAGGGACATTTAACAGCCGCCTGTTACTGCCACCCCCTGTGTCTGTGCGCGGGTGCCCACACAATAAGATACACGTAAAATTAAATATATTCACTTTTTAAAAAAGATTTATTTTTTATTATAAAGTCAGATTAAAGAGAGCAGATACAGAAAAAGATCTTCCATCCACTGGTCCACTCCCCACATGGCTGCAGTGGTCCGAAGCCAGGAGCCGGGAGCTTCTTCCAGGTCCTCCATGTGGGTTCAGGAGCCCAAGCCCTTGGCCGTCTGCTGCTGCTTTTCCAGGCGCATTTGTGGGTACTGCATCCGAGGTGGAGCAGCCTGGCGGGCCCAGAATGCTTTTTTGGAAGCGATGTTTATATAAATACTCCAGTGTCCACAGGAGTGGAGTGTTCGCACATCGCCCCCCTTTGCAAGGAGGATCAGCTCAGCCTGTTGGGGTCCGTCTCTTCCCCATGTCCCAAGGAGAATGGATCCCTTTGAAATAGCTTGGCTCAGGCAAAAGTCGCCAAAGTAGTGCCAACCCATGCCGTGGGTTCTCATGCCAAGAACATCCTGTGGAGTGCCGGTGTTGCCAGAGACAGGCCAGTGGGAGTCTGCTGAAGTGGGGGGCACAGCCAGGCCTCAGGATCGAAGCCGTGGCAGGGGGAGCGGGTGTGGATGTGTGGTATCAGAGTCCACATGGCTGCCCTTCCTGGAAGCTCAGGGCTGTGACCCCAAGCTGCGCCTGCGTTTGCTCCTGCGTGCTGTCCACGCACACATTGCTGTCCTCTTGGAGCGGTGTGGCCTCTCCTTGGGGTTTCCCTTATGCCCCCCTAACCACCCCCAGTTCCTCTACATTATTACAAGAATATAGTTCTTCATAAACAGTCACAAGTCCATCATTATAGGCAAGACCCTTGAATTTCTTCAAGTCGTGTGTTGGGAAAGAGTTGTCGACGAAAGACTTG